TTCGGCTAATAACAAAAAGTAGTTTGGGCTTATAAAAAAATAATTTTTGCCCAAAGTATTTGGGCAATTTCGGCTACATGATTATTAATATAAAAACATTGATGGTTTACGAGGACACAAAGCTCAAAACATAAAGAATATAATAGTCCGCCTGTAAGTATATCACCTAAATTTTTGGTTAGACAATTTAAACAAGAAATTATATCTGGTTTTTGGAGTTGTTAGCGCAAGAAAGAAATTAGTTGGTATTGGTACTACGCTTCGTTATCCTTTTTTATTTAGAGATTTTTAGAAGCGATAATCATTTGCTGATTTGAATTCTTTTTTTAGAAAAAAAACCTCTTTTTGGAAAATCTGAAGTTCTACAATTTTCAACACATTTTTTAATAGTGATAGCAATTCTTCTTTCTCTCTGCAGAGCTCAGCAAGATAGTGAGTGCTATGAGCAGCTAGTGAAAAATCACTGTTTTTCAAACTTAATTTTTTGGGAAGGAATTTTTTGTTTTTGTTGGGTAGTAAATTTCAAAAAAATTTTTTTTTATTTTTCTGAAATCGATATCAATCCACTTGATGATCTATGTTGAAATTGAAATTTGAATGCCTTGTCCACGTGATAAACGTTTTTTACCATTTATCATGCAAAATAATAAAATCTTTTTTTCCAAGTGAACAGAAAGAGATTTGGTTTTAGTTAATGTGATAAAGATCACTATTAACTAATATGTTTTTAATTAACAAGTTTACAACTGAAAACGCAACGTGGAGCTTTTTTCTTTTTTATTATTATTATTGTGCATGCTGCGCCACGCAAGAACCAAAATCTATTAAAGTTAAGTTTGATTTGGATTGCACCTTCTTTATCATAAAGAGTAAAAAAATCATATCACTTAAGTCAAAACAATAGTCAATTTCATTAAATTCGAAACATATAAATGGGATGGCCATCCTCATATTTTTTTGTAACTCCAACATAGAATTTAACATTATTTTTTATTTCTTTATTTTTTTATTTTAATTAATGATTAGATTTGTTACGCAAATAATTACTTACATATACGGAAGGAATTATTCATGAATTATTCATGAATTTTAAATTTTAATAAAAAAAGTC